GCAAATGACGATTGCGCTAGACACCCTGAGGAGAAACTCATAACATGCGATCTCTTGTCCATAAGTCATCTGCCAAGGCCTTGTCAAGCCTACCTGTTGTACACACACACACACACACACACACACACACACACACAAATACACTCACAACTTTAATCAGAGCCCTGAGGCCTGCCTGGACTCCCTAAGGGGTAGACTAGTCTAGAGCTCAGTGGATGTCTATGATGAAGTGATGAGTAGATAGAGGGCCTCTGAAATTGCTCTGCTCAGAAACACGCAAAGGATACAGTCATAGACATATTTTTGATAGGTGGGGACAAGCATCAGCAGCTCCATACGTGCAGCACTTACTTAAATTTAGGAGATTTGAAATAATTCTTAAAGATTTACGCCTATTCTTCAATTTTATTATTTTGTTTCATTGCAGTCACTTAGCCAACATTGCTATCATGACACTCCAGTCTTTATCATTGCTTGCTGAAAGCAATCTGATGGCCAAAATGAAAAATTCAGTCATAGCTACATCCATGGTAAATATGCCTACTCATCTCCTAAAGTGGTGTCATAGTAGTCTCCAGAGTCAGATTTTCAGTTTGAAGACTATGAAAAATCCCTTCTGATGATGTATCTTGAAGGTGAGAGGAACCTTTGAAGTACCATAAGTGCTTTGGGACAGATATTTGAGGGGAGGCTTTTTGAATTTGTTTGTTTCTGGATGGCTAATGCAGAAGGAAGCCAGATACCCAGCTGGATATCACATGTATATTTTAAAAGACTCTTAATCAGTGCCTTTCTTTATTGTCATAAGAGTGATTTCCAGCAGTTGTAAGACATTTTTGCACCAATGCATGCTGGGTATTGTAGTGAGAGAACATTGTGGATGAAAAAACACAAAAAATCCAAAATTGTGAATTCTGTCATGAAGCTGTGGGATGCAGTGCTGCACTGTAGAATATTTTATAATGTGACAACATATAAAATCATCTCTATTCAAAGAAAAGCAAATATCTCAAAAATGGTAACTTTGTAGCAGAGGGCAAAAAAGTTCTTTACTTTTAAGTTAATGTAAAGAGATTTTATTCCAAGCAATTTTGGAGCATCTCTCACAGCTACTGTGCTCAAATAATGCAGAAAAAAATCCCCAAAAATAGAGATGCACGAGTTTTTTTTCTTTTTTTCTTGGACAGTGACAAAATGTTTATTTGAAGCCAGTATGCCACTTTAAGCATTTCATAAAACAGAATGATTGGATAATATATTCAGAATATATATGTGGGAGAGATCTGGATTTTTGTGCTGTTCAACAAGGATAGGCTAACGTCAGCTTGCCCACACTCTAAGCTTGGGATAATCTGACATTCAATAATGAAATTGAGAGATTCCAAGTCAAACGTACATGGTGCAAGCAGCAATACTGGCAAGAACTTTCCAATCAAGACCATAATGATGAAGACTGTTTCTGAGGTTTGATCTGTTTGATAGTTCGCTCCTGATGCAAGGGGGTTTCTCTGCATGTTTTCATTTTAATCCCCCCACCCTGCTGGGCTCGCAGGTCAATTATATCGACTTTTCATGAGATCTAGAGCAGCTTGTCAGCACTCAGTGACAGGCTTTGTGACAGGCTGACTGTTCACTGTAGAACAGCAGAGCTAATTATCGCAGTCTTGTAGAATTTCACCAAGCCACAGGCTGCAGAGCGTGGAATCAAACAGCAGGATGGGACAGAGATAAAGGTGATGTGAGACCTGACAGAAGGAGGATTAAAGCCTCTATCCTTCCATTCCTCCACTCTTTCTGTCTCACCCCTGACCTGTTTGATTAAAAGTGGTTCTGCTTGAAGATCATCTTTCGCATTCATCCCGATAAGTGTGTTAGTCTGTACCAAGAGTAAAATAAGGTGTCATGAAAAATCGCTGAAAGCTTTTAAAGTGTATCATCTAAATCGCTGAGCTCTGTCCGTTCAGCAGCAAGCACCAACTTCCTCGCAGGGTGAGTCATGCAAATGATGGAGGTGATATGAGGAGAAAGATGTTAATGAAAGTGGAGATCAAGGCCAATTCTGACTCAATAGCCGATCGATACAGAACCCATGAGCGTCACTTTGCAAAGGCCAACAGGACACCTTCTTTCATCCACAACAAGCATGGAGAGAATGTTCTGAAGTAGCACGCATACATAGAGGAGAAAGCCCCTGCCCACAGCCTTCACCACCGGCCATCGATCCTTCTTCTTGCCCTATGAAATATGCCTGTAAATTATCCCTAATGGGACTGCGAATGGGAGCTCGGCTCCGGCTGTCAGAGTGATGCATGCTGGAAGAGCAGATGGGCAAGCCTGACTGTCTAGTCCCACAAAGAGAAAGAGAAAGAGAGAGAGAGTGGGAGAGGGAGATAAAGAGCCTGACTGTCAGTTCAGGGTCACTGTTGTAGACCTATATAGCAGACATTACTGCTGCCCACAACTGCTTTCCCTCTAAGCCAGCAGATGGGTTTTAGCACGGCACATCAGGGAGAATCTCTACATGAAAAAGAGTCAAAGTCATAATGAGGATTCGTTTTGCCAAATAAACTACACTAAGCCTTTGAACGCTAAGCCTCCATAACGCATCATTAGGCCTTCTGCAACCCTAACGCAGGCATTAGCAGCAAATTAACCAAATTGAGAACATAAGTGGCCTCATGCAGATGAGTCAACAGCGAGCAGAGAGACAGGATGTTTCTCCAGCCTAACGAGTTGTGACGGAATGACCCACTGATCTTTCCTGCACGTTCCCACACTGAGACATTCCCAGTACAACGTCATCCGCACGTCTGCAGATGTTAAGCCCTGCTCACAGAGCGGTAAGGCCTCAGGCAGGGCTGTGTTGCAGAGAGTATGCCGTCTGTCAACAATCCTACATGGATTTCAGTTTAGGCTAGCACCGAGTCAGGTGACTCTCTCCATGTCTGGGCAGGTTCTGGAGGGTGAACAGATTTTCAGGAAAGATAATAAACAGGCTTCCCACTTTATTAAAGGCTTATAAAGTGCTGGATCCAATTCCTATTGACAGTCTATGTTTGTTAATTGACGATAGCTCCTTCACTCTCACGCTGGCTCAAAAATTTTTATTTTTGCTGGTCTAACCGCTGCTAAAAAGATTGTGTAATTGGTTTAATCCAAATACACAACTGTTGTGACAATGGCTATTATTCTATTATGACATTGGGCCTCATTCACCAATATCATTCAGTTTTTGCTTAAATATGTTCTTGAGAAAAGTCTGTCAGATTCATGACATGTTCTTAAACTGCAGAACTGTTCACACCTTTGTGCTCTTTAGTGTGTATATTCTGTTCTTACCTAAGAACAAATTCCAAATATGAAAACACTGGTCAATGTCAGAATCATCATGAAAACTGTGTTCTCAAGAAATTTCTTCTTAAGAACAGTTGGTGAATGAGGGCCCATTGTTTCCCTTGAGTGGACTATTGCAATAATAAATAAAGCTAAAATAGCTGCAATATTGGCATGGGATGTGACTGCATCAGCTCTTAAGGATTTATTTTAGGTTATTAGATGAATGCCCCTAATAATCCTCCCTGTATACCTGTTTTTTTGTGTATTTCAATTGGTCTGATAATAGCTGCATTTGCTTTTATATTTTAACTGTATTTTCTTTTGTTTACTGTATTTACACATTTTCACATCTGTGTATAAAAGAGGAATGTGTGCTCAGAAAAAAAGAATTACAAATATATGAAAAATCCAACAGCACAAGCACAATTGTTTCTTCATTATAATCTGTCTGATTTGTGCTGGGGGCTGTCTGTAATTGACTGTGATTAGATTGTTAATATTACTCCAGTGGCATCACTAGGGGGTAAGGCTATAAGTAGCATCATTAGGGACCCTGTGTAATGCGTAGCACTTATAGCATGAGTACAGCAAAAACTGGAAAAAAAACTGGAAAATTAGCTTCATGCTGTATTGACAGATGCCATGGTCATAATTTGAACTCCTGGTGCATGTACCACAAAGTGTCACACCATAAGATTGTCTTCTCTGGCAACGACGTTTAAACAATGATTTTAGAACTTGCTTTCCTCAAAAAGTTCACAAATGACTTTTTTTGCTGCACAGAGGACAATCCAAAGAGGCTTTGAATACAGGGTAGACAGGGTCACCACAAAGACAAGCTTGCTCTCTTTCAAGGTGAGTGAATTCTCTCTGCCTGAAAAAACAGACTCTCCCCTGATTCACTGACTCTCTAAAGGAACCATGCACCGTATCAAAGAAAAAGATGCGACACCAGAGAATAAAAGGCAGAATAAATAAATAAACACCCAGAAAATACTGATTCATGAAGGCAAAGACCCCATGCTGCCTAGCCTTGTGCTCCGTACTCGTGGCTCTATTTGGCTGCCCACAGAAACAGCAGGGGTTGTGGATAACTGACAGTGGCCTGCCAGCAGTACCACGACTGAGCTCTACAATGCCACCACAGATCAGGGATTAGAAATGTCACACAGAACAAAAAACAAAAACAAACCATACTTTTCTGACCCGATCAAAAATAACAATAAAATCATCCTCAGCTGTTTGAGGATGAACTTTTTATTTTAAAATATGGGATCGACAACATTCTGGTTAATTATGTTTCTGGTTAATGTTCATAGAATTGAACAATTATTTGTCACATTGCCTAATTAGGTTAAAAAGCTGCATTCATGATTTGAGTGATATCAGCTTGGTTCCATTCAAGTCCAGAGGCAAAAGGAATAAAAACACTTATTAAATAACTGCAGCAGTGTTTTGCAGTGGCAAACTGGGACTATAAGAGCTAGGACTTCAGTTTGAGCAATAAGTGTCAAAATCCGTCAAAAACAAGGAAAAAAAGCATCTCTATGATAACACACAGTTCTGCCAGCCCTCCAGTGGGATTCTTGTGGTATGTAAGTGCTAAGCTAAAGGTGATTCACATTAATTTTTTTGGGCCATTCTAAAAGTAACACAGACATCTGAAGCTTGTAAAAGACATTTCATGTTTAATTTGAAGCTTAAAACATAAATTAAGACCTTGTATGCAGTGGCGGATCTAGAAAATCTTACCAGGGGTGCAAAGGTAGCAAAACAACTCTAAAGGCACAAACACTCGCCCCACAGCAAGGTGGACACCAATAATGTGGCAGAAATTTTGCGGTAGCATCTGGGGTGGCCAATCAGGTTTTAGGAAAGGCAACAGGCCACTCTGGCCACCCTTATAAAGCCACATATGTTTTTATTAAGCAATTTTACAGTGACTCTTTCATTAACAAGCCCTGGCATAAAGCTGCAGCCCGTTTTCCATTTCTAATCGAACCGATGCAAAAATAAAAAAAAAAAACACCTCTAGAACTTTCAGAAAGCGTAGCGTGATGTTTTTTCTCTTGAATTTGGTCCCAGTTATTGGAAATCAAAATGTCATTGGTTGATTCTACTGCCATATCCTAATTATGTTAGTGGTTCACCTGACCTTCAGCTCCTGAAGTCCTTACCAATGAGAGAGTTAGCTTGGCTGTATCTACCTTAATATTACAGAGAAAAAAACCCTTACTGGATAATTTTCCATTGGGCATTACAAGAGTTTAACCTTTTTGTTTCCAACAATGAAATAAGTGTTTCTGAAGGCCTTATAAGCTTAGGGGTCAGGAAAATATTATATGTGTCATTTTTGCTCAGAAAAAAACATGCTGTTTCTGATCTCTGCTCCAGAGTAACCAGCTATCACCTCCCAGCACCATGGATAGCAACCTGCTACTTCAGCGTTTCTTCTACAGACAAACATCAAGCATGTGGATGGAGGTCAAAGTCCAGGAATGATGCAGGACTGCTGGTCACTGACGTCACCAGCTGTAGGGTACCATTTAGCACGCTTGAAGTGCAAACAGAGCTAGAGATGTTCACAATTTGGAAAACTTTTAATGTATTTTATATAATTGGGACATTAACAGGAACTGACCAACATTATTCTTTTATGATTTTGCCAAATAGCTAACAAATATGAAAAATATGATGTGACCATACAAAACCTGTAGTATGATTTAATGCTATGGTGGCATCTTTGGTTGTCCTATAGTCTCCTATAGCTATTGTTTTTTTTGTTTTGTTTTGTTTTGTTTTTTTTGAGAATGAGCAGAAGGTGAACCAATGATCTCATTTTCATACTGACTTACCCAACCAGATTCCTGACCCCAGACTCAACTTTCCCAACCCAATCCACACACTCTAAGGTACACAAGCCTACAGGCATTTTTCTTCTCCACTCTTTACATACAGAAGCCTTCCACAGGGTCATACACCAAGTCTGTTAATGCATGATTGTGTTTAAGATGCACTGTAGCACCTGATCCTGTGACAGTAATCGGGCTGGGAAGAAGCAGGACAAAGTGGGTGAAATTAGGTGAGCAGCGGAGCGTGCAGACAGAGCAAAAACACACTGAATAATTCCGCTGCACATCCAGAGCGTTCAGTCAGAGCATGATGTGCCGGTTCCCATGGGATGCCATAAAACTCCTGCACTGACCTCTATAATTCATCATCATGGTGGATTCATCCTGGGTGACTTTCAGAGCCACATACATCTCTTTCTGCTCATGCTGCCCCCGAGATTAATTATTCAAATTCTCCATTCTGGTCAGACACAGACATGAAGGGCAGCAGAGCAGAGTTAACCCCAATAAAAAGTCAGTGCTTTCCAGCTTTCTGTGTTCCAGAGATGGATGAGGTCACTGTGCACGGGGCATCATGGCCTTTAGCGCTGTTTCACTAACCTCACCTTGAATTTCATATGGGACTTACTGTAGCAGTCACTTTTTCATTACAGCCCATAAAACATGGACACCTTTTGTCTCCATTTAAAGGCACAATGATCCATAGATGTTGAAGGGCACAATGCAAATACCCATGAAACTACCCTGCTGTGTATTTCAGGCATTAACCCATCAATGCTCTGCCTACAAATGCATTATTTTATAATAACTGTTGCCACATTGGGCAGTCTTTACAGAATTCTGGCAAAATTCCATTCAAACCACGAACTAAAAAAAAAATTAAAACACCTAAATTTAGAGTGAGTTTTTTTTTAACACATTTTTCCCCAGTTCACACCTGCCAGCAAGGTCTCCCCATCACACAATGCTACCAAGCAGAGAGGGTGAAGGCTAAAGACATGAGACACAACATTGCATCTTAACACAACATCACTGGGGAGCCTAAAGCACTTGGAGGAGAACACTAACTGCAATGTCTGTTCTGTTTGCTAACAGACAACCACATTGGCTAGCACAGCACAGGGAAGCGGGAGGGCCATCCTACCCACCCAGAGACTCCTGGCCACAGATGGCCGTGGTATTGCCAAGGATCGAACATATGATCTCCTGGTTAGTGGCTCAGCTGTCTAACACTTGCCCTAAGTTTTCCCCGAAGTTTTGAATATTTTATTGTAACAACAGAGTGCAGCTTGGCAGCGTAGCATTTTAAACTGGAAAATAAAACATTTTGTAGCCACTCTATACAAACAGCTGTCAAATTTGGATAATATATTTTTTGTAACTAATTGCACACTAGAATTTCTCATTAGGTTGAATTGTACTTTTGCCACTGCTCTGGAATCTAGAAACAGTTGCTAAGCAAAACACATTTGAGGGTGGAGCATTGAGAGGTTAGTTTAGTGTAAGTTGATTTTTATTTGGTTTCTTTTTTATAAGGAGTTTTATGTAGCCAACTAGTATCAAAACAGTCGGAGCAAACTAGCAACATCAGAAATAAGTAAAAAATTCAAAGTGTTTTCAAAGCATTACAAATTTACAGCACTTTGTGATGCACATAACAGCCATAAAGACATTTGAATCGACACTGACCTCATTTTGCTGATACATTTTTTGCAGTTGACACAACCTAGCTAATGAATTCTCTCACTCAAGCCTCTAGAGGGCAGCCTAATTGAGCATGGATTGGGCGGGGGCCAGTGACATGGACCCTGGAGGACATTTTGGACTGTGTCCAAGAAGAAAAGGATAGAGAGGTCAGGCAGATGTTATTGCAGAGCCAGTGGCACCATGCAAGCCCACAAAAACAACACTGAAGAGATTCTGGTCCTGTACACTAGTCCACTTATTCTACCATTAATTGCACTGAAAATCAATCTAATTATATGAAGGACTCATGTAGTCTCTTAAGGAGAGCCCTGGGGCTACCCTAGAGGGTAATTACCATCAGAAGAGAGTGTAGCAACATGGAGAGAACATGTGTCAGAACAGAACCTGTCAGCACACACACACTCTCCTGCTTTTACAGACTCTCAGAATGACACACGTTCAAGGAAGTATGTGTGCGTGTGTGTGTATGTGTGTGTGTGTGTGTATGCTGACCACAGTCATTTGGAGCAGAAGAAAGCATGCATTAGCAGCACTGAAAACAGCTGAAATGCACATTAGCTATGACAAACTGATTCCTAACACCCCGATAAGTGTCTGTGCTGTTGTAATATCTAATCCCTGATGCACAGAATGCTAATTAGTCTGTAATGTGTTTTTAAAGAAAGGTTATCACTGTGGTTATCAAATGTCTGCTAATCACTTTTTTCAAAGGACATAAGCCACAATATCCTGTGGAGTGTTTGAAACTCTCATCTAGGTTATAAAGTGACAAGAATAATGGACCCACTTAACACTGAAATGAATTGCATGCGAATATTCATGTGATTATATGATAGATCCCTTTTGATATCACGTTATTAAATTCAAACCTCGCAGTGCATGCCAGTGGCAATGCTTCTCATCAAGCTGATATTAAATTAATTCATCTTGCAAACTAAAGTGATGTTATGACTGGTTTACCACAATCACTGTGGGTGGGCTAATGTAGTCTATGTAGAGCCGTGAACAAAAGCAAATTGTTTCTATTAAAGGACTGTGAATCAAAACCACATACCAAGGCTAGTAAACATCAAATTAAATACCTTATTTATCTGGAAAAAATGTGAATGTGTATATATATCCACACACGTATTTGTTTCATCTTCACTTTAAATGTTTTCTTTAAAGTTGTGTCTTCTAGAGATACGTAAGCATTTTTAAATTTTCATATATATCGCTGTTGTCGGAAGAAAACCTTGTATCTCTAAAATAATAACTTTACAGGAAAAGGAAAAAAAACTACTTTCCTTTTAATATGAGTCAAAGGAACCAAACTTTTTTCTTTTGGTCCATTCACCATGAAGTTCATCCACGATGTAAAGGGCAACAGGCATTTTCAAACTACATAAAAAACTGAAAAACAAAAATGGAGATACAAGGTCTTCTTCCAACAGCAGCGCAATTAATGCACAATTACTGTTTGTTTGTTAAATTTAACATACAAACAAAAAACTAATAAAATAAAATGGCCTGTGCAAAAGTTACGGAACATTTAATATTTTATGCTTAATTTTTACTCCCAGCAACCAAACAGAAACTGTGCACTAAAATTATAAAAAAATGCCAGATTTAACTTAGTTCCCTGTAAAAGATGTGTTCATTTATTTTTACTTAGAAAATCAAAAAGATATTATGGGTCATTTTACTAGAGGTATTCAAACTTTTGCATACGACTGTATATGCTCAAGCAAATACAAAATACATACAAAGAAAGTACTATGTAGGCTGCAGAAAAAAAGTGCATTATAAACACTAAAAGAACTAAAAATGTAACTCTGCATCCTCTAGATGCTTCTAGGTTCTACACACTCAGCAAGACCAAAATTACAGCTTGATTTTTCCATGATATCTTTGCTCCCCACACATCCATTCCAGCTCCAGGATCTCACTTCCAGGCCCTTTCCATCCTCCAGAGCAGCAGTTGTCCTCTCTATCCTGCTGCTCCTGGAGGGATCCATCCCTCATGTATAATGCATCTCATCAGGGGTCAGGCTTTTTATATCCACGACCCCCTGTGACCTCCTCCCCTAAAGTACATCTGCTCCCCGGCCCATGAGCAGGACAGAAGATACTGAGAGTGAGTGTGGTGTTTAGCCCCCATGCGCGGACCCTCACACTCGGGGAGTCGTTGTGCAGATAGCCCTCATTTGTTGGGTTATTCAAATATGTGCAAATGCAATCCCTCTCGCTGTCACTTTTACTTTCCACGAGAGCACAGGGAACTGTAGCATGTCACAGGGCATCTATATTTCACTTCCCGAACTTTGAAAGGAGGCCTTTTTGGGGACCTTATATAACCGTCTGCTTCTAAAATAAAACGGAGCTCTGCTAAAGCACACAGATCCCATGTCCATGAAGAAGAGCAACTTCAAAAGCTAGTGTGCTGTGGAAGACGAGAAGGAAAATCTGAAAACCCAGGAGGTTCACCTTCTTTTTCCAACACACACACACACACTCCTGTACATGTCTCAGCTATGTACCCACACAGCTGACTGAGCTGATGGCTGCAGCTTGACAGAGAGAGAGAGATAGTGAGAGAGAAAGAGAGAGAGAGGTACAGAGACACAGAGAAAGAGCAAGCTGTTCCAGGGCTGTAAAGCAGAATTAAACTCAAGGAGGGTTTAAAGATGGAATGGGATATAAAATAAAAGCTGTAAACCACCTTTTTGTTATTTTTCTTGTTAAAGACCCCAGAGACCACATAACAGATTAGGCAGTTTCCAAACCCACAGCCGTAAACTGAGCCAACGTTTCTTTTGCAGTAGAAGGCAGTGTTAAAAGAACAGAGCAACTTAAGGCTTGTTCAATCTGCTAAATGCAGCCGGGAAAAGAAAAAACAGGCCAATAGTCTTTACCTAGCGGCAGTGCCTATTTATAGGAGGCAAATGCCACTTCAGATTAGTGTCAACTTCTGGTGTTTGGTGCCCCCTGGTGCATGAGAGTAATACTGCAGTTGTACAATACTTCATTACTGATACACAATTGCAGGACAGCAAAACTCATCCTTTAACAAAAGGAGCAAAAAATGAAGCACTGATCTTTTTAAATCACTAAGATGAGCAAAAGCCACTTTTTTACTTGACATCTGTTACAGTGTGTTGTGCTACACTGTAATGGATAAAGCCCTACTGGTTACATTGCTTCTCATCAAAACTAATACGTTGACACAACATACTAAGGCATGGGAATGAGACAGTTAAATTGTGGCCACAAGTTAGTAAGGCAAGGAAACAAGATAGATAACTTGTCATTGTTAAGTTGTGGCCTACTTGCTCGTTCCCATGTCTTAGTTATGCCCATGCAACAGAATCGCATTGTCACACCTTAGTGAACTGTGGCCATGCATTATTTTTATTAAGATGCAAGGTCACCAGCAGGGCTCTGTAGAAATGCTTTCTATGCAATTGTGAATTACAGAAAAAATTAATGATGGTCACCCTGATCACCACCAAGCCAATTTTTTATGGCAGACTGGGGTTTGGATCGCTAAAGCCCAGAAATTCATAGCCAGTGTGTGAGAACATAATGTACAGCATAAGCTTTTCACTGATACTCAAGGCCAGATCACTTCAGACACCACTTCATTGCAATGGCTGTACTGACACCTAGTGTCATTCTTTTGCATTCACTCCAACATGTCTGCTTCATAACAACCACAGTCTCATTCATTTCATCACCGAATCAAAAATGTGGGCTGCACAAATCAACGGCCATTTGTTCTTTAATATTCACTTTTTTGCCCAATAATGCTACAGAAATACGTACTAAAAAGACATTTCAGTTCTGGCTCACAAAACATCCTTCATGAGTAACAGATCAAATCAGGAAGAATCAAATACAGCTCAGAAATAACCAGGCAAGCCAATGTCTTCAAATACATTTTTTTTCAACCATCTACAGTTTAGTGTAGACATTCAACAGTTTCCAACTGTTGTATAAATACTCCAATCCACAGGAAGCATTTCAGAGTTGGCTAGCTTTAAGCCAAGTCCAAAAAGAAATATACAAGAAACCTCAAGAGCGAGTTGAACCCTTTTGCCCCTGGAGAACTACACTACCCTCATAAGAATTAGCGAATATGGCGAAAAAACTGCCTGGTTTGGGTTTAAATCAAGCTGACCTCAATTGCACCCATACTGCTTACAAAATGAAGAATTGTTTTGGTAGAAGTTACTTGCCTTAGAGACTGTGCTCATGGTTAAACCTGATATCAGTCATTTTCACAATGGTCTGGCAAGTTATTACTCTGTGCATGTGTACATATTCATGTATTAAGTGGTCTGCTATAGCCAATAGCCCTTTTTGAAAAACGAGAGAAAAAACACTGGCTTCAGCTATATCCAAAGGGTACTGCAGACTTTTAAGAGTGGTTACAATGGGATGAGCACGTAATATGCACTTGCCAATCAAGCATGTCATCTACTAACATAAAGTGGGCTTCACTTTTGCATTTGCACTGATCTGCAAGAAGCAATGTGAACATAAAGTTCAAGCAAACCATCACAGATGAAATACATGACTCAGGCTAGGACTTGATGTTCCTTATCAATCTGCTGCAAAGTGGAGGTGTAGCACGAGGTGTTATGGACACAGACAGAAAGAGAGAGTGAGAGAGATGGAGAATGCTCTCTTGGGCTGTAAGTGGTAATTGTGAAACCTGAAGCATCACTTTCGCCCATCTGTCTCACTCGTCCCTGCTCAGCGTTCAACTAGCCACAGGCTTCAGGTGACAGCCTAGAGAGCCAAGCTCACATTGCACTCCAGCAGAGGACCACTGTGCTGTTAAACATGCAGTAGTGATGCAGATGAAACTGCTTTTGTAAAAACACTGTAGCATTAAGATCACCATACCTATTAGAAAGAGCATTCAAAGCAATGCTCATCCAAAAGTAATCATTGACATCTTTGCTGAACCAGCTAACAGCCTGTGAACAAGTCCTCTTTTGTGCTTTTTGTTGACATTTTCTGTTCTGTAAATCGAAAGAAAATGCCCAGATGAACCACATTACCAAAACTATTTTACAAGTATTCCCTGTTTTGTCTTCATGGTCAATATGAGAAGGTTTAAAAGAAACAACGAAAAGAATTACAAATAATTAGTAGAATTACAAATAATAAGTTTTTTTTCCTGATCCAATGTCAATGTAACCAAGAGTATTCTTCTTTTCCTTGACAAATTTAAAAAGAATTTTCAAAAAGAATATGAAAATCTTTTCTATTTAAAAAGATCAAGTACAGGTTATAACTTGGTAATAGTGTCATTAAAAATAAATGGTTCTACCATCATCTTCCATAAACTGTGCTTCAACCTCTATAACACTCATAAAATAATTCAAGTAATCATGTCATATTCTGCTTGGTCTGGCATTTTCATCATGTGTTTCAGGACAACAAGATAAATGTAATAATTAACACTGAGTAACGTTTAATGAAGAAAACTGCACTGAAATGGCCTGCAACTGCATTTGAAGGGACCTGATATATATTTTTAGCAGAAAACAAGTGCTTTTGGATTAAAGCCTTTTGCAAGTTTAACATGGCCTGTCCAGCATATTTAACACATTAGACACTAAGACTTAGAGTGTAGCCACACAACCTGCAATTGGACACATCCTGTCTCAAACATGCAGCACCAAACAACCAATTAAACGTGTCTGCAATGCAATATCCATTACATACATTAGGACTGACTGATGCTTCCATGGAGTTGTAGTTTTATAAACTCCACCAGAGTTACAAAGGTACTAGTCTCTATTTCAGCCACGATTCCTTCCAAGTTCCACAATGACATCAGGAAACAGTGATCCCTCTCTGTGCCAGAGTGGAAAACAATCCGATTAGGCAGAGGAAACTCAAGGCAGGAAAACATTAGTGCAGCAGCACTCCATTCTAATGTATGTCCACCGGGTTTGGCTCCCACCTGTGCAGTTATGTGATTGACTACAACAGTCCTGAGGATGTGTGTGTAAAACAGCCCTTAAGGGAGAGGGCTTAGGCCAGTTACACCACTGCAAGCAAAGACTAAGCAACTGCCTTGAAAATGAAGTTTGAAGTTTTTTTGTTGCTACATAAATCTGCTTTTTAAAAATATAGAAAAAAGAGAAGTTGTCGATTGTATCTAAAAAGTGAATAATACATAGAGTGCTCAGTTGATTTAACATACTAATTTTGTCTGTCAGGGCGTTTTCACACTTGGGCCGTTTCAGCGTCTGAAGTGGACTCAGACCGCTGAGTCATGGTTCCTTTTGCATATGTGAACACGGCAAACGAACTCAGACCCCCCTAAATGGCCCCAAAAACGAACCGAACTGAGACCACCTCTCAAGGTGGTCACAGTTCGGTTCGTTTGTAGTTCGTTTTGTGGTTCGATTAATTTGTGCATTGTGAAAACAAAACGGCCGAGTTCGCTTTAGCTTTGCTTTATGGTGAAGACCTCGATACTCGCCATACACACAGCCACAGTCTTTACTTCAGCAGGTAAACAGACCAAGGATCATTTATAAGGTTCTACTCAGGATAAAGTCTGTCCGTGATCTGAGACAGACAGCAACGCTGACTTATTAAAGCGATCAGACGCGAGAGCTCGCGTGATTATACCGTGTTAAAGGCTCGAGCTGGGCACGCAACGCAATTCTCAGCGGCCCACTTGGCAAGCGCTGTGCACACCGTGAGTGCTGGGAAAGGGGTCCGAGTTCTAATGGAGTTGTGGTCTGAACAAGAAGTGGTCTGAGATCTCAATGGACCAGAAAGAAGACTGAGTCCTCTTTACAGTTCACTTACATTGTGAACACAAAAAGAACTGAGGTCACTTGCAGTTGGTTCCCTTCCAGGTTCACTTTAACAGAACTCGGTTCGGTTCTTTTAAAACGAACTACATGTGAAAACACTGTCAGTTTCACAGGACTTAGGTTAGACATCACCATGACTCTTAACATTGTCATACATATTTCTGTATGCATATTCTCATCAATGTCTAATTCAGAGTCCAGAGGCCTCTTCAGTTTAACCCAAACCATGTATTATGTTTCTGCTTGGCAAACACATGCATCAATGTGAAAATACTTAAACAGTCTGTTAAAAACCAAATATAATAATGCCTGGGTTCTTTGAAATGATATGTGTGCAGATAGTTTAAACTATGAAGACCTCAAGATTAATGTTGTTGCGAAAAGTGTGACTTTTATCTGAGTCATATACACTAAATAATCCATCATTTCAAATGTGCTTCCTTACTGTTGGGGTAATTCAAAGCAAAATTAGCCAGATGTTGGAACTTACTCATACGTCATGAATATATAGCTCAATGTAAACCCATACTTCTGCCAAAACACTGATTTTGTGGTCTCTCCTGCTTTTAAAAGACGTATTCACATCCTCATCCAAAAGTAATCAGTCACATGACCACTTACTGACCGTTAACCCAGTCTGTCCAGCTACTGAGTGCCCAAGACTGTAACATTTGCTTTTTTCCTCCTTTGGCTTGACGTCAAACCAATTTTAGGAAGAAAGATAAAAAATGAAAGGCTGGCCAATGTCATTGCTTTCTTTTTCTGTCACAATTTTTACGGGACAAAGCAAGGTTGCCTAAATATGGGAAGAGACCATTTTCCACTCTAACAGAAGATACAGTTAGTGCCTGAATCTAAAAATAGCTGCCAGCCTCCACTCCTGTTCAGAAATACCATGTTTCTCGTGTTATCTCTCTGCTAAGACACAGGATGTGCCCTGCCAGGCCAGAGACACAACATAGTTAAGAAAAAGCAATGCACTCCTTTAACTTATTGTGTAATGAATGGCAGAGTCGTTGTCATTCACCAACGTCAACATCCAAGCAGTCTTCCTAGCAACTGAGTGAAAGAGCAGTCATTGCAAGACTTCAATGACTTAGAGTACCAAAAAGTAGATCTGCATTCACTAAATCTTTGCACTATAACACAGAAGAACTAATACCTGACAACTCCAAATCTGCTGTTAAAAAGTGGTGAACATCAAAATGTAGTAAATATCTTATTCATTCAATCGTAAGAAACCACTGGAGCCTGCAGACTGAGAGAAGAGAGAGCACTTCTGTCTCTCCTCCCTTTCATTTCTCAACACTGGGTCCCCTGGTGCATAGTTCATCAATAACGCCTGGGCAAAAGACCAAAACAAGGGTTGCCATTGAGTAAGCAGGGCCCAGAGCAGAGAGGAGAGAGCAGTCCTTCAGTACTTGTTAATTCCGAAGAGACGGACACCGTGCAGCTGTGGTAGTTTGGGAATGAGCACAGTAAGCAGAGAGACTGTGTTGATGACGAAGTGGACACGATCGTACTTGGTGTAGAAGCTGGTGAGAATGTACCTAAAAGGAAGAGGGCCACGGACAAGGGGTGGCAGACATAAGGGAGAGAGACAGAAACATGAGAGGCATACAAATCCAACAGACAATCTCTCAAACTCTAAAACACAAAACTGTACTGTATGTTACTGAGCCGAATGCACTGATTTACTATTACAATAACCAAGAATAACCATAGGGGCTATAGCTAACTCTCAAAATAAGGTATTAAAAATGTCAACAATCAATCGCACAAACATTACCTCCATGAAATCACACAGGGCAAACAGCAGGAGGATATTTCGTAAAGCAAGGTTTCTCAGTAAAGCTGTATAATGTATTACTTATTAAAGAGTTGTTACATCCTGTATCCAGTAACGACATGGAATACAACATAAACTTGTTGAGTTGCTTTTAGGTTATAGAATAGTGTGTAACTAAACAGTGTGGAAGAAAGGTTTGAAACTGTAAGCGAGTTCTGGCAATTTAAGGGGTTAAACCCAAAGTAAAGAATAGATAGACAGAAATGCAGAAAAGCTTTTCTCCTGTTTGACACATTTGACTTTTAGCTTTTCAGGTTAACTGAGAAATCCTGCTTTGCAAAACACATCCCAGGACATTAATCTTTTATCATCTTAATCAATGTTCAGGTAGCCTTGTCTAATTTTAAGTAAACAGCAGTATATGAAGGTTACGTCATCATTCTATGCAGCAAAGGGGAAAGAGAAGCAGAGCTAAGCATGTTGACCTGACTTCTTGCATGTTTCTAAATCAGGCTGCTCTCAGCAGCACACACCACAGGAAGTCAGCACTGAAACCCTAAGCAGGAGGGCAGCCATAACAAAACCAGACAGACACAGGACAGAAAAGGTGTCTGTCTGTTTTTAGAACTGAAGATGGAGATGAGAAAGGAGATACTCACAGAATGATTGGGGTAATGGTGAGAAACTTGCGGGAGGCGGTGAACTGGACCCCGTAGTCCATCTGCTCCCAGTGTGTGAGAAGCCGAGCCTTGCCCTGGTCTGGAGTCTCAAACGGAGTCCCTTTTACAGTGTGCAGGAGTAGATACATGCACTGCAAGACATAAACAAGCCTAAATTTTACCAAGAGAGGAAGGGCTTATTACCATCTTTGATACACATTAGAAAGACCCGATCTGTAGACGTAGCCAGACCATCAGAACAGTGAGGAGCACTGATCTGCTTTGGGCACAGGAAGACTAGAAAGCTGATACAGTACAACATTCTTAACTTTGCCAGTGGCTGAAATACAAGAGCCTTGAGTCAGCAGCAAAACATGCCAAAATTCAGCAAAAAAAGTTCAGAGTTACAAAATTTACCCAGGTGGGAATCGGTGTCAAAGCACCCCTATTGTGTTCACTGTAAGTAACTACAAGCTAAGCCAAATTTCACAGTACAAAACTGGGCAGCTGGTCTCTAGTGCGCAACAGCACATAACTTCAGTGTTTCAAGATGCATAACAGTGCATAGTTTAAAAAAATATAAATAAAAAGCATGTGTCTCACCATGTTGTGGATGAGGTTGGTGAGGGTCCAGACCACAGGCACGCTCACGAAGGGAATGCTTAGCAGAATGACGTGAAGCAGGCCGATGCCCAGCAGGTAGGACAGCCACATGCCCCGGCTGCTCATTACCCGCGTGTTGGGGTTCACCTCGCTGTGAGCTGTGCCCACGTTCATCCTGGCACAAAGTCCCACGTTACTGTGAGGGAAAGGAGCTGCAAGCGGTCTGCGTGGCTTCACTCATTAGACCTGGAATAACAGTAATATGTTCAGTTCACACAGAAAATCAGAATGAACACCTAAAGTGTTTTCAACATTGAGTGTGGTATTGAATTAGTACTTACAGTGCTCAATGTACACCTAGTGTTGAATTACCTTTCAAACTGTTGCATTAACATCTACAGTGTTGCATAAACATTAATACTGTAATACCTACGGTGGAGAATAAACTGACTGTTGAATTCATAGCTATAATATTAATCTGCACACAAAAACATTGGTGGTGTTAACTGAATACTGAAATATTTTATGTACAACAGATTTTCATATAGATCAATAAATGTCAGCAAACAAAAATAAGTAAATAACTTGCGCGCCTTGGTGTCTTTCTTTTCACAATGCAATGAAACATAAACGTAGAAAGAGGTTTGAAAGCCAGTGACGCAGTAATAAACAAACAGCATGCAAATGGAGAACTATTACGGAGTAATATCAGACTATTACGCAACCCAACAGTCGGCAAATTCAGTGTTGAGAATCTATCAGAGACATGGTAATCATGGACACAGCATAACTCATACACTACTTACGAATAAGACTGAATATGATAAACAGCCAGTGACTGGGTCAAACTCCTTATGCACTGCTCCGTTATCACATCAGTTCCTCTGCTACAGCGTTTCGATAAAGTTTATCGCGTTATCAGTCAGTGAAGATGAGCGGACAGCGGCGCGTCTTCATCCTCCACATGTCCTCGGTTTCCTTGGCCAGTGGCCCCTAATAGTGAATTCGTGCCTGCTTCGTATCTTTTAACAAACAGAAAATTTGCGGCCAGCAGCTGCTGACCAACACGGCGCGACCTCCCAGCTGCACGTCATCACTTTCTGGGCTTCATGCTTACGAAAATGGGCGTTTATTCTTCCAAGCACACTAAGCTGCAATTGGCTTCGTTAGGTCACGTGGAAAGTGTGAGCCAATCACTGCCGACTGCGTTGTTCATTAGCTGAAAAGGCCCTACGCCCCCCTTTTAATATCACAAAGCGGACCAATCAGAGCTGTCAGCCCAACTTGAGACTTATGGGAACTGTAGTCATGTTGTTTGTTTTTTTACCAGAATGAATTAGACTTGTCTAGAAAGTTATGCAAACCCCTTTGTCGGACTATCTTGTGTACGTAATGAGATTTGAGTAATGTTGTTGAGCTTGTAAAATCACCAATGACGAATGAAAAGTGTTGAATTTCCAGAAAGGACAGAATCACGTTTAAATAGTGAGCTTTCACACAACTAGTCCACATTAAATGAGACTTTTTGTACCATATGAGGTTTTAGAGTGTTTACTTGAACAAATCTGGACATAGTGGAAGCAGCACAGATACGGAAGTCCTGATATCAGGCAAAAGGTCAAGAGTGTCTTGTTCTAGATTCTAAGCTCTAGTTTAGAAATCATTAATCCTCTTCTACATCGGTTATGTTGCACGTCATTAAGGGGGACTCCACCAATTTCTCAAAATTTATGCATAATTCAATAGCTCAGACATAAACGAAGTCATTCAGATTGATTTGATATGGAATGGTGCTTCGTTGAGAAATTTATTGACTTAGATTTCTTTACAGTGGTGGTCACAGAGGTCAGAATGTCTACAATGCAAACATAGCCACTATATTTGCTATCCAAAACGACCAGCGAACCTTCACGACTCTGGGTTTCTACATGTAATGTTATGTAAAATAATATTAATTCTGAATATGTTTTTGTTGGGTTCTACTTTGTCTTACAACACCCTGCATCTGCCAGTTTAGGCCAAAACCTCAAAACTTCAAAATCTCAAAACTAATGTAAAAACAATGTCTCAGGCTTCAGGCAGAGTATTCATAATCATTTAGTGTAATAACTTTCTGTGAGGGAGCTTTTAGAGGCATTAAACACTTTAGATGTCTGACTTGGTTTCTCTTGAACAGAGTATTTCACATCAAAGAACTCTGAATGACTTTCTTCATATCTTTAATTATACAGAAATGTGGAAAATGTGGAAAATAACTTAAATTCCCCATTAAGTTATATGCTTCATCTGATTTTAAAAGCAGTTATAAAAAATTGTTAGGCCTGCACATAGCAGAAGTTATAGTCTAAAACCAAAATATTCACTATCATTATTTTAAGTGATGAGCAGGCTATGAAATCCAGTTTGTGAACAATTAAACACACTGTAGAACTAAAACGAATCAAACATTGTGGCTATTACCAGACCTAAGACATAACACTAGTTATCATCCGTGTTCTACTAGCCCAGTCATCATGCCCAGTGGGAACAGAAATATGAGTCACAGTTCAGCATTGCTTTCACTGCTTTTACTGATAATTAACTCTACTAAGGGCACATGACTTCAAAGCCTTGTGGTCTCTCCTCTTTCATTCCATAGCCCTCTTGGCTAACATTTTAAAACCTGTTTAATTATGTCTAAGAGCACAGAACACCATTGTGACTGAGATTCTCCACAGTTGCAGCCCTCAGGCCCAGGGATCTGTGTTTCCAGATGAAATCTGATGTCTTGCCTTTATCAAACACCTTTGGGGAGAACATTGCACTAATACTTGTGTTGTAGCAATATTGTCTTTCTTTTGCCCAAGGACTCAAACTTGGTAACATAAATTTTGCAATGAAGGCATTGCACACATCTGGCAGTAGTTTGGACAATGTTTTCGAGACAACATGGTTGCAAATGGCTGTCTGGAACAAAGTACCACCGCAACTGCCACATACAAATCTGCATGTGTTTGCAAAGAGAAGAGAGGGAAAGAGGGAGAGCACTTAATTAACTTCTTTCTGTATTAGCAGCCTATGCCAGGACCTTTGAAAATATTCTGAGGCCTTATTCTCAGTTTAGTTCAGGGTACATGTTAGTTCATGATACAGACTTCAACACCATTTGTTATTTAAGAACAATCAAAAATTCTGTCACAGAATGTCTGAAGCAGACAAAGATAGGGCTGAAAAATCAAAGAAGTGCAATTGTGATTGTCCTGATCACACTGAAATATTGATACACTGGCAAGTCTGAATGGGAAAGAAACCTTCATGTTTATTACAAAGTCATAATAAAACATAACAAATGTCTTTCCAATCTTTAGCCCCCTGCAGTCAGTAGCTAATTTTAGTCTGATGTTCTACAATGCACAAAGTAACCAACAGATGTCACTATCATCACATCAGTGTCTCTTTCTGCCAACTCTTCTCAACTGGAATACACACATCTACTGTAGTAGTGTCTTTGCCTGCAAGAGACAAAATTACTCGTATGTATGTATGTCTAGCCTTTCAGGAAAGTAAAAATTCACATTAAGGCAAATTCAGCAGTGAGTTATTAGACTTAAATGCAAACACATCTGCCTAATCTGCAAGGAAAGAGAAACTAATAAAAGAGCAGATCACGCTGTTAAAACAAGTGTAATGTCTATCATTTAAAACAGACAACAATGACTTCAATACTTGCTATTTTCAGTCCTTAACATTTATTTTTCAGTTATTAAATCTTAACACTCTTTATTCAGTAACTACTATTAATTATTCAGTAACGACTGGATTCAGTCTGCTTTGTGTCTCTATGTAGTAACGAGAATGTGAAACTGAAGTGTTGACCTGCATATAGGCTATCAGGATTTAAGGTTGCTGGTCACATTTGTTCTGTACATCCTCTTAGGTCACACCAAGGTGTGTGTAGCTGGGTGGAGAGGAAAGAAGAAGAGAGGAGGAGGAGAGTGAGTGGAGGACTTTGTGACCCAGGCCAGTCTGACGATCACCCCGCTGGAAAAGGCTGAAGCCCCCAAGACGCCATTGTTGCCCCACAGAGGAAGCTGAGGATTAGAACACCAAAGAATTTCAATAAAAGAAGTGTCTGTTAGAAGGCTGAGGGTGTTGGGGAGGGCCCGTGAGGCCTGGGGCATTGTCCTGGAGGTTGGTTGAGAGTGAGAGGAGGGGAGTAGGAGGGCATTGTGTTTGGTGGGGGGGGCTGATTTCTAAAGGTGGTTATTAGGAGAGAGATGGCGAGGGGGTGGCTGTTGACTCTTCATCTTGTGTGAACAAAGTCTCTGGCACGTAATACCCACACACACACACACTTCTCTTTCTCTCTGTCTCTCTCTCGCTGAGCTTCTGCTTTACGAGGGTCATGAATACTGGGGGCCGGCCCATAGAGAGAGCCCCACCAAGCCCAGACCTGCTCGAAAGCTTATTGTCCGGCTTAAGTGAGGTTTAATTAAGCAGGCTGTGTGTCCTGAGAGGAGAGAGCAGTGGCTTGAAGAGCCCAGTGCCTGTGGAGATGCTGCACTCACCCAATGGGCTCACGGTTGATGCTGAGCATTCAGCTATTGAAGGAGAAAGTGTTTGCTGCTCTAATGAAAAAGGTTTGTTTGGGGGATGGAAGGGGGAGAGGAGGAGGGGGGTGTCTAGGCTTTGTCCCCAGCTTACAAAGTAGGGACAAAAGCAGTGATATTATACAAATGCTCCCATTTCCAGGACATGGTGCTGAGACCAGGACCTGCAGATGGCTCAAGAACCTTTAAGGAGCCTTATGAAAGGGAATGTTAATGCATTCAGCCACACTGAATTTCCACCACAAAATAATAGTAATAATAATAATAATAAGCATGATAATAATAATAATAATAATAATAATAATAATAATATTTACAGATATACTACACAGTATTACAATCTTTAACAGCTGATTGTACATGCTACATGATTATGCTAGTGTTTTACTGGTTGCATCTCAATGTCTATGCACTTACATGCAAAATGACATGTAGACATACATAACCATGTTCGCTATAACGTATTGGATTTTACCAGGGTAACGGCACAGAGGAGAAGCTACTGAGTCAAAAAAGAAGCAGGGGATTATGGGTCCCAGAGTATTAACCAGACTTCTTATACAACTAGCAGGAACAAGCTAATTCGTGAGATCCTCTTTATCCCAAACGTGGAAATAACAAATAATGAAATTCTTAGGAGAAAGGGGTCAGAGGAAGAGGAGGGCAGAGGGACGGATACAAAAGGAGGAGAGATTGAGAGAATGAAAGAGAGAAAAGCCATGTGTGAGCAGAGGGCGGGCCAGGCGGGTTAAGAAACTTTCTTGCTGTAGTGCTGTGTGTGGATGCTCTGCTAATCCAGGTTTTATTGGTTGCCTATGTCCGGCCACACTGTCCAGATTGAGAATGTGTAAGTATGTGTGTGTGAGGGGCTTTCGGGGGAGCTCTACACATGTTGTGCTTTGTGACTGTGCTGACCGAGCCACTAAGAGAGACAGAGAGGCTTGAGAAAGAGCTGGACCTGGTTACGGCCTTCCTTGGGTCGCCCTAGAAACCTGCACTGCAGGGGTCCTCTATGTTACCTTGTATGTGCATGCAGATAGCAAGACACACATACACCTCTTTACAGATACCACAAATGTCAGAATAATTCTCAGGAATACTTGGCATACGTATGCCATACTTTCCTCATTTTATATATAAACACTTTGTAAATCTATTAAATCTTTTTTCCTGCCTAGTCTGCTCAAAATGTCCACAAATCTATCAAGAATTATTCATCTGTGCTTTGACGTAACAACTCATCTTCGATTTTCCTCAGCTTCACAAACAGTGGTGATGAATGTCAGACCATAACAGAGGAAAAAGGCATCCAAACTCGTGGCTTTCCCATATTGTGGGGGCTGGATAAGGGTGCTGTTAGTGATGTATTACCCATCCACTAATAAAAAGCAGGAGTGTCCACAAACACAGTTAAATGAGGGAGGATGAGGGACTCCTGACCTCAGGGTCAAAGCTCCAGACCCAGTCTCTTTATTCCAATTGACAGGCCTGAGGGATCAGCCACTGCTTCTCATTTCCATGCTGTAGTAACCACTCCCACTAAATGCAACTGATATGAGAATCGATTCTGTTTCCAAAGCTTTATTTTACCACAAAAATGGGTGGATAAAGAGAACAGCCCCACCAGTACTTACGTTATCTACATCATGCATCTTGAAGGGTCTCGTTCTGCACTCACATTGTGTGGCGGTGCATGCTGGGACATGAATCCACCAGTTTCTAATCGTGAGTTCATTTACAGACAGTTTATCATGTTGCGGCCTTGACCTGGGAAACGTGGTTTCAATGTTGTTGAGAGGCCAACCGCAGACTGTCCCCGCCTCTACTTGTAAATAACGCTCCTGTCACGCTCTCCCAGCCATTCCTGGCGCAAAGGGCCCTGGCTGTCACTTCTCAAGAATGCTGCAAGCCTGATTGAACCGCTGATCTCGGCACATTCACCGCGCAGCACTATGGCGCGGGACATCGCAGCTGATGGAAAGCAGACCTGTGCTTTTTCTCTATTAGGAACATCTCTCACTCTCTCACACACATACACTTACACAGCCTCAACCTGTGCTCCCACTAACAGGTTCTCATCTGCATTGCAGCATTATGACTGTACAGAGACATTCCAGTCACTTCTTTCATCATGCGGGATGGATGCATAGTTATGGTGGCCCTTTAGCCATATAGACTTGTTCCTCAATTTTTAGTCTTAATATAGTCAAAGGATTTTCCTCTCAAAAATGTACAACTAGCCACGGAAAAATTGTCCTTGGACCATCACAAAGGGTAACTTTTATCCTCATTCTAAACCTTTGCTCTCAAAGGATAAGCTTCAAAAATGTCCTCAGAAGTGCGTAAAAGGGCTGTGTCCACCAAAAGGCATAGCGGATCTCCGAATGGATGGCCCCCCATGGCAGAAGCTCAGCCACAGGCAGCTATAGGCCCTTTTGATGTGAAGAATAAAGGGTATGGGGAGAAGAATGTGGGGCACTGGGAAAATGACCTCTAGACTGTGGTCAGAGATTTCACTCTCTCCTGCCCCTGTGCTGCCTGCACACAGTGCTTCTCCCTGCTGGGAGGCCGAGCCTCAAATCCTCCCAGCTCCCTGCTGCCCAATCCTCGAAACAGAGAAGAACAGATTAGAAGAGAGCAGAGGGAATCTCTCATCTCTGAGGTATAGCCATATCACCTCCAGGACTGTAAGCGGACCTCTCTGCTCTTTTGAAGAGATGTTTATTATGTTTTTTATCAAGTTAATAATAAAACTGAAGTTTATTGATGAGCTGCTAATAAAACTGATATAATTGTCATGCCTCACCAAACATTATGCTTTTAAGCCCTAAACTCACCACTCTCATAATTATATAACTTACATATTAGTTTCATAGAACCACATGATTTACAGTAGTTACCAAATAATACACTGTCATATTAATAACTGAATAATATGCCTAGGGATTAAGGGGTTAAATGGAGCACTGACCCATTTACACAATGAAACCTATGTTTTAAACTTGCTATATTTCCAGGTGTGGTTAACAGACCTGTTTGCAGCAAGCAAAAACTGGATTTTCTTTCACCTTTCTTAATGTGGGCAAGCCCAAGGAAAAAACTTGTTTCAAACACAATGCAATGTCATCTTTTAGTGCTGTGTCTCTGTCCCAGCACCGTCTGCACCTCTGCCCATCCGAATGACAATAGCGTTCATGTAAAATGTGCTGCCTTTAGGCCACAGGGGCATATATCACTGCAGGCCTGGCCCTGCCACCACCTTTTATTGCTTTATTGTGTTCCCTTTGTGTTCTGTTCTCATACGGGGAGGGGGGCACCATCCAAATTTTCCAGGATTTCTCAGGGTGCATGAGGGTGTCTGTGTATGTATGCATGTAATCCTTCTATATACAAGTATCAGGACTGGTTAGTTGAGATAAAAGCTTATTAAAAGCTCTAAGCAGCCATTTGCTCTCTTACCAATGGACTGTTCCAAAGTGCTGAAGTCAACACAGCTAACTGTAAATATTGTCTCCTTTACATGCATATATATCTCAGCGAGGCATATCAACCTTTGTCAAACTCAATTGCTGCCATCTTTTCATTCTTACACCTTCCCTCCTCTCTCTCCCTCTCTTTATTTTCTACATTACCAGGGGTGGTGTGTGATTGACAGATGGGCAGGAATAATAATTTTTTTTTGCGTAACCTAAGGCCATGCTCTGTGATTGGCTTGCCAGTTGACATCTCCAAACCTCGCTCATCTTCTCTCTCTCTCTCTCTCTCTCTCTCTCTCTCTCTCTCTCTAATATTGGCCCTTTGGATGAGACATCCTGAGGGGAAAAAAAGTGGGGAGAGAAAAAGATATGTACCTTAGGGAAGAAGCTCAGAGAGAGGGAGGGATAGAGAGGACGGGTAGGAGCGTGTGTGCGAGTGTGTGAGACATTTACTCCTCTAACTACTGGGAGACAGACACACTTTCCTGTCCCGACTTAAAAAAGCAAATAAACCAAGAAGATTTTTCTTTACCTTATTTTATTTAAAATTTTGAATTTCTAACCGTCAAAGCCTTTCCTTAAGATCTACTGGGACTTCATTTTCTCCCCCTCTCTGGAAATCCTATGTACTGATCAATAGACCTTGCCATCGACACAAGACATACCTCATGGATTTGTACCTTGTTGGATATATAATGTGCATGTGGTTGTCCAGCTCTCGGGTGCTTGGAGGCTATCCCATCTGGTGGTGAGTAGCTACAGTCTCCACTTTCTGCATCAATTTCTCCGGCAGCATAGGGAGAGTGGTGGTCAATGATCATTTTTCAGAGGGTAGAAAATATAGAACACTTTCAGTTGACTGCGTGGAAAAATGTTCTCTGCTCAGTCCAAAGAATCTTAACCTCAGTCTCTGGTGGAACGGAAAAGGCTAGCCTGTCTTTTCCTCGCTGTTCACTTTCTCTCACGTCTGTTTGTCACACACATTAATATTTTGGGCAAAAAGGCAGAAGTGTTGTTTAGTGAAGCTGGAGGTGGGATGTGACGAACTAGGAGTTTTGGTCAGACTTGAGAACTGAGACAGTGGTGAGCTTGATGAGGGAGGCTATATTGTTATCTTCGCGAGTAGCCTCAGCGCTCCTGCCGTGTTAGGAGTGGTAACTGGGGTATTAGTTCTTGTCCCTGTATCTAGTTTTTCTAAATTCTGTAGCCCAACAATTTAAGTGCACTTCAACTTCTTCCTCAGCACTCCATGATTTTAAACTGCATCCGAATTTGTCTTTGATCCTGCAACAACATACACACTGAGATTTAATGTGAAAGTAGATTGAGCTCTTCTGATTATTTAATGTCAATAAAACAAAAATTAAATTTAAAAATGAACAAAATTAACAAAAGATTTTCAGTTGGAACTCAACATTCATAATTCACTTACTGAATTCATTTACTATATTCTAGATTTTACTTGGCAACCTGCACTTTTTAAAAGGCTTCAAACATTAAAATCATAGATTTAATCTCATAGATAATCACAGATTTAATCTTTAAATTCAAACAGAATCAGTTAATTTAATACTGAACAGTTTACTAGTGTAGATGACATTTTTTAGCAACGGTATTCCAAGGTATTGTTTACCAACGTAATGGTGCAAAATTTACTTATACTGATGTTCAATGAAAACAAATAGTAGGTTATTTGCAATATTATATTTATATATATATATATATATATATATATATATATATATATAATTCATTTTCTCTATATGCTGCTGCCCTCATGAGGTTTTTTCTGAAAATATTTATGTGGGCTTATGACAAAAAACTCCACTGGCTCCCAACACATGTCAGGATAAATGTATCCTAGTGGTCTGTGTATGCTACTGACCTCATGAGGCTTTTTGCAAAAGTATTTGCGTAGGCATATGACAAAAGCCTCACTGGCTCCCAATACAATACTTGTCAGGATTAATGTGCCCTAATAGTCCCAGTTAGCATGTGATCCTCACTCCTGTCCTATTCCAAACCACCAGCATCTTCTGGTTTCGTTTACTGTGCAAGAGCTGCCAAACACACACATACATACGCACACACACATACACAGGCCACAGGGCTGAAGTGGTAATGGCAGCACGAATTTACACCGGCACCGGCGTTCAAAGCCAAGAGACGGCCGTGACAAAGAGTGGCACAATGTGTATGTGAACAACCTGAAGCTGCGCCTTTCAAAATTCTACAGATGTGACAGTAGTATAAGGTTCACCATCCCAGCTAACAATGCTCGGTCTCTTTGATTTGGATAACACATCTGAAGTGGAGGGAAAGAAAAAACGACAGAGAGAGAGAGAGAGAGAGAGAGAGAGAGAGATGAAAAGGGGTACATGGCTTCAGGTGAGTAGGCAGGTGCTGAAGAGTCAAAGCAAACTCTTTAGCTGTTGGGCTGGAGAAGGAAGGAAGGGAAGCAGAGGGCTGTGAGGTGTGGAGGTGAGTGAGGACACACACACATGCTCTCTAAACAGAGAATCTGATTTTCACAGCAGCATGTGTGTGCATGTGTTGTGACTGCAGGTGAAAACAATTCTGCAAAAAGTAAATCTGCAATTGCATGAAGTAATGAACTGCCGGATAAGAACACTTATAGTAAAATACAGGTACTCATACTGATCATAATGCCTTGTACATCACTTTTGAGTCATACAATCATTCAGGAATTGTGTTTTAAAAAAGTATTAAGATCATAAAAAATAGGAAAAATCATCACATTCGAATCACTCAATGAAATTTCAGGGATAGAAGTCAGTCCTCAACCTTGGTAAAATTCATAAAAATGACACAAATACAGAATAACAGACCTACAGATTTGATTAACCTTTTTAGAGTCGTGTCTCAGAAAACACCTCAGACCTCCAGCTTATTAGTCATTCTTCAGTCATAATACATAATTTGTCATACGCTTCTCAAGATGTAGGAATTCTAAGAAACTACAAAGTACTCAGTGTTTGCCATCATATCGTTTCGTATGAGATTATACCTAGTAGGTGACAAATCCATTTTTCTTTTTCAGAGTCGAAGGCTGTAAATACTACATAAGTTCTAAAATTTGCAGTTCAGTTGCCAACAGGCAGGGCAGGAATGGCATGTTGTTGTATTTTAATAGACCAAACATAAAACTGATTAGGATCTGGGTGTTAGGTGATTTATGCAGAGACTGGTTATGGACTTTAACTTTACATGATGCTTTATGTGACTTAACATAAACTAGTTAATATGTGCCTATGAACTGAACACACAGGAAAACAAATGTTTCTAAGATTTCCCTAAACTGGTCAGCTTATGAGAAAATGAAGGTTCCTCTAATAGCCAGTGAATTAATCAAAAACTAATAGCTATTTCGGTCATTCTTAAGAATAATTAGGATCTGTATAGGCACTGATACTGACCTTAACAAATGGATCAGGCATGACCGAGCCACAATCATTACTGCTTTTTAACAATGATCATTTTAAAATTGCATATTATCCAGTAGCCTACTTTCTCACATGCTTCATTTGTTTCTCATATCACGTTTTCTTTTTGTTTATAGTTAAAATGTAAATATGTACATACGGCTTCACACAGAGAAGTATGATTCCACATAGTGAGACATACTTATTTAAATATACAAGAGATATCAGTATAGAGTTCGGGGATTGTCAGAGAAGGCCTTGGATCATTACATCCATAACAACTATTAAGTCCTCCCTCAATCCTTAGACTATTACCTCTATTGGATAAAGACTTTATTAATAAGCAGAGGGAGAGCCTTATCAAAACACAAACAGTAAGCTAACAGCACAGTGTGTCTCTACAACACAGATAGACTCATTACGTTCATCCCTTAAGAAGGGAAAGCTACTGAACCTTGTCAGCTCGCCTGGCCTTGTTTGTTTACATATGCATTACAGATGATGACTGAGTGCTCATGCTAGAACTCAATCAAGCAGTCGTTCTAAATGTCTCTGAATACCAGATAGACAGGAACATTTGTGGCTTTCTTCCATAACAGCACCTCGAAAACTTTCACCCGTTCGTATCCAGCTGGCCTCTAAGGCAATTATTCATCTGTTATCAATCATGACTACTGCTACCACACAGTCGAACAAAGGGAACTGACCCGAAACCATCAAGTCAAGGCTTGACCTGTAAGCACGTCTCTTCTCGGTAGCTTTTATTATCTCCAAATTGACTAAGGCACCATTCACGATGGATGAAGCAGTGAGCTGATGTTTCATTTTACATGCAGTGCTGCATGCAACAGCATGCCATTTACACATCTAAATGAGCAACTGATTGCAACCCTGCTGAACAATTGACAGCCAAATGCATGATCAGATATTGTACATGATGATTTATCTCCTGTCAGTAGGGACTATATAAATCATTTACTATAGAACATTCCCACTGTACTGAGGTATATTGTGAGGTATATCATGGTATCATGGTGGAGTTGAATATGTGTTGGATGGACAGGTAAGAGAGAAGACAAAAGAGATAATAAGGGAGACAGACAGGGAGGAAGACAGGATTTCAAAAGTTGTGATTTTTCTTTTCCTTTTTGGTGAGAGCGACAGAGTGAAGCAGATAGCCCTGAGGAGTCACTGGGGATTCTGACCTGCTCCTGCTGCCTTCAATAGGACTTAAGGAGCCATCTCTGGGTTTCAGGAATGTCATTATCCACCCGACACCCCCTGCATGACAGCCAGTGGGACTGCTTTAATGATACCTAGTGCGGGAAAATCCTCCGTTTGCAATTCGGTGTGAAAAGGATCAAGGATGTTTAGGCATTAGTCTGGCCACTTCAGAGAGGGAGGGTGAACGCTAACAGATAAGCTGCAATAAAGAATGTTATTCTTCAGACTTATAGGTTCAATATCAATAACGGAGGTTATGGAGAGTGGCGCGGTCACACGGAGAGGGTGAAAAGCACTGCGGGGTAAAGCTCTCAGACAGCATACAGGGAGAGAGCTACTTATCAATGCCCAGAGACACAGATAGAGCCACAGTGGCCGGGGAAAAGGAATTACTATCTACAGTTGTTAGTTCCACAAGCCTGATGAATAAAAGCACAAGGTTAATGACTACAAGAATCATCAAACAATATAATACATGCCACTGCAATTTCTAATTTCTTAAGTTGAGCTTGCCATTGGATGGATAGACAGTCTGTGTTTAGGGCACATTTTAACTGTTTTTTGCTATTTTCTAAATTGGCCAGCCCACATAATTGTGTTTGCTGCAAAGACTGATCCTAACATTGTTACCTCTGGGAAGTTTCATGAATATGGGCTAATGACTCAACAGAAGGCTTCTATGCCAGATGGATGGATAGATATGCAGACAAAATGTATAACAGACACAGTGGAGGCCTCATAAGTACGGTGGGTCAATAATAGTGAGAAGGCACACTCCCACAGACCCTCATTCAGGGACTGACGATTAAGAAGCTACACCTGCACCCCGTGCATCATCCCGGCCTACAGGGTTATCACTTAGGTCATCCTCACACACTCACACAGAGGAGGTTATAAAGAGAGGCAAAAGAAGCAGAAGGAGGCCAAAGAAACAGAAAAAAGCATGAGAAAAGTAGCAGTGAATAGAGATAATCACACACAGGAACACGCAGTAACTGCTTCTAAACCTCATGGCTGCGAGCACATTTGTTCAAGTGCCATCATCCCAGCTGCATTCGAGGCTCAGGAAAGCAGTGATTAA